AATGGTCTACACTGGATGGGACCAGCCACTGGGCAAATTTGCATTTTCGCCTTCCCAGATGAGCATGTTCCAAATCACTGGTCATTAAGTGATGGAAAGCATCTCTGACCCTATTTAACCTGAGATTTCATGTCCATAGAAAAGGTCTGGTAGCCTTGCCCGTCTCAACAATCCCTTGCTTTTCGTTGGGCCTATGAATGAATGCAGGATTTTTGATAGCCTACATGATTTAAACTCTAAATTACCAGAATAAATTGCATATGACACAAAAAGGAAGTAATAACTATCCCAGAAGTGACTTTTTGCGAGGCATTTGAGTTCTTTTTCCTGTTCAGCTCGTTACAATTGAGGTATTTTCATTGCTTCACAAAATTAATTTTCTTCTGCTCGGCTCTATGGCAATTCATCGGAAACTCGTTCTGTGTTTCTATGGAGGAAATCAAGCCTGAGTTTTTGAGTTTTTAAAATCCACAGTAACTCCCTCTGCTTCATGAGCGAAGAATCCAAATGGGCTATCCACTCTGAAAAATCCTATTTCGATATCAGGGAAATGCTTCCTGTCCTCTGTCGGGTACCACCCGGTTTAGTAACATTTGAAGAATATCTTTCTAAAGCTAGGTGCATTCTTCGAATCTTTTCGAGTAATATCGATTTTACTCCAGTGCGATCAGCTCTGTAAAGGTGCGCTAAGCCGTTCTTTGACATATCGCTTGCACATATCCGATTTCAAAGAGCGGCTACGGCAACAGAAGAGCTGCGACGGTCGCCGCTGAGTCGAGCTTTGACCGTATAAACAGCTTCTGAAGAGCATCTCAAAGGTTGAGAGGGGATGAGGTCGTCACAGGCGCTGGCCGAAGCTCGCATTAATATTGTAATCCCATCTGAGAGCCCAATCCATGAATGGGAAGCCGCTCTGGGAAGGGTAGAGCGGGACGAGGTTTCTAGCGGCTTGAGCCTTCTAGCACTGCGCCATGCTTTCAAGGTGTTTATTAGGCTACCTTCTCAATCACCGTCGTTTTCAGGCTACTCCCAGGTTCGAAATCGCCCCGTTACCAATAGATACTAGTCATGCGGATCGAGATCACAGACCTGGTGCCGACACCGGATTTACGGTGATTAATTAGTTAGAGGTGGTGGTCCGAGCACTTTCCGTGCCGATGGCAATGGGGTAATGCGTGTGCCTGGGCGCAAACATCAAAGCAGTCCGACGAATTCGCAGTACGTTAATGGCGAAGTGACAAGTCCGGGAGCTTCCCAAGGCTTTTTCGTTCATCAAGTGATGACACCTCGTTTCCGCCGTCAAAAACACTTCATACAAGTTAGCGGTATGCTTTCATCTCGATAATGACTGAAGTTCCTGCCTTATGGCACTTCTCAGAAAGTTGGGAAATGTTTCTGGACGAGTTGTACTGATCTTTGACCATGTAGACCTGTCGACAGGAATGTTCTGGGTTGAAACTACTAGAGCAACCCAGGAACTGAGCTTGATTGTTGCCGTCAAGGACGAGGTGGGTATTTTCAAAAAAAAAAACGAGGTGGGATGATAAGAAAAGCCAGCCTCAGAACCATCAATTCGCTGACCAAACGCTAAGGAGTGCCCAGACGGGTGGTGAACTGTTCCCCCTCTCCATTTTTACGTGATGTTCTTGCATTTTTCACGGAAGTTTCTCTTTGAATCGATAACGATCAACAGAATGGTACCACCGTTTTCTGAAACTGAAGATGCGTCTGTCAAAGTCAATTCATCAAAACCGCTGTTGAGGCGGTTCGACGGCGATAGCGATCTACAGCAACTTTTATGAGTTAACAATCCTTTCGTACCATTAGTTTGGCTCCATTATAGGCTGGCACTAACAGGCTTCGGCCCTTTAGGGCCCTTCACGCAAACAGGCCATTCATTCGGGGCTCATTGGTTTAGATTATCCAGATTTTCATATGTAAAGCACCTTGAACCACCGGCTACGTAACAGGCGTAGATTGCTATCGTCAGCATCGACGACGACCAGATTGACATCTTTTCACGTCGTCACGTCCATGGCGACTTACATAACCCGACGAGTGTTTTCGTTGTGCCAGTCGTTTTCTGTACATCACGGGAGATGCTAATTTGCTAATCTTCTGGCGCTCATCATAGGGTACCCGTGTCCATTCTTTCGGGGAAAAAGTTATTACTGCACTTCCATACTCCATACTCACAAGGCTATTCACTCTGCTACAGGAAAGGATGCCCTCTCTGGGGAAAATCAGTTAAAGAGTAAGCGCAACTCCATTTCAGGGCTTCAACGGGGGTTTGGGGCTCTGTATAGGTGATCTATTTTGATAGGATTGGGGGGTAGGGGGAATTGCACAAATAATTGAATGGCCGTAGGGACAAAGTAGGGGACTCAGAAAACGCCTATACAGGCTTACCAAATAGTATTTTGTTCCCAGAAGGACTTAACACATTTTGGTTTCTCACCTTTGGGTAAAGAAACCCTCCGATCAGATAGAACTCGTTTTTTTTCATTCATTTAACAGGCTACAGGTGGATAGTAAGCTATTGTTGAATCACTATGAAGATGGGAAAGAGTGCCAGGATCAATTATTTCTCAGTATCAAGCTTTTCCTACCATTACGAGTGGGTTCCTCTCCAAATGGACTGTCCTTTATCTGCTAGCTCACGCCAGGGCGGAACTTGAACCTTAGAGATTTTAAGACTACCCCCTCGAGTTCCCAAGCTGCTCATCTCAAGCAAGCTATTCATTAGGAAATGTAAAGTACCCGAAAACCACCTAGACAGTTGGCTCTGTTTCCTTCTTAGAATCCCAACTATATGTATCTTATCTTCTGTATGCCATCTCACTATTCCTCAAGGAATAATCATTACCTGTTTTAAATGCTTGGTACCTGAGCAATTAGAGAATTACCAGTTATTTAAATCCGATTAGCCGTGGAAATCTAGATCATTTGGGATGCACAGTGTATTAATGGGAAGGGAAAAGCACTGAATGGACCTTCCTGTTCCTGAAAACTAAATGGCGCCATCACGATCGTTCATTTTTGAACCCTTTACGGCTAATTGAACGATGTCGTAGGAAGTGAACCTAGTTTTTCTTGAAATAATAAATGAATTAGAGGTCCATGAGCATTGAAGGTCTTTTTTGGAGGTTTTTGAAGTAGTGGCTTCTGACACTTCAAGGCTTAAATCCGGGTCCATCACATTTGATGTACTACATGAATGGGAAGCTAGGGGCGTCACTTTCACTCGGAAGAAATGATCTTTCCTGAACTATTCGAGCATTTCCTTTTAATCTTTCACTGCCATCACTTTCACACGGGATAGAAACTCTCCCCATTCTCTGCTTAACCGGCCTAATCACTAAAGTTGTGAAAACTACCTGGCGTGGTCGGGGAACGTTCGAAGACACAATCTCAGAACTAGGGCCACCATGGATTATGATTTCGTAAAGTAAACAGCTTTCTCATATAATTAGCGGCGAAACGGTGGTTTTCCCAGTGACCCATGTTGTTGCCATGTTCAGTGGTGCCCCCAGCCATAGGTGGCAGGTGTCCCGCGTGAGGGAGAACGTCCTGCGGCTACGGATCCGTGATTCTGCAGACGGTCATTCCCATACGCCCCTCAAATGGGAGGTACCTTGTTTCCCATAATGGCCGGCCTACCCAAGACCGTATAAAACATTGCAAATTGGCCATTTCACTATTCTCCGAGGTTTGGCTCCCGTTGTTCCTATCTCATTCTTCTTATCTCTGTGACCGGCGCGTGCTGCTCATTATCAGTATTTGTTTATTGTCAATGTTAGTGGCTTGATGACCTCAGCGGTGGCTTCTTAGGGGGGCTTTTTGGGGGTCGAAGTTTATCTGATTTCACACTCTGAGCATGTGGTTGACGTAGTTGTTCACGATATACATCTACTTCACGATTAGATCTCAGGTGGTGCTGGCATTAGCTCCCGGTCTGATTGAGATCCCTGATAACAGAGCTCATCCCCGGATATGTCACGCTTCGAGTATTCAGCGGCTTAAATCGGATCGGAGCAATGACTATCTTCACTAATGCTTCTGGCCTACTGGCCAGAATTTAAATTCGAATCTACTTCAACCTTTGACCCAATTCTTTACTCAAACAACTGGCTGATTGACCACAAATTTACCAGTTCTTATCAGCTGTTATCAAATCTACTGGTACTGGTACCACCGCAGAGTTCTTAAAAACCAACCGCTGCCGGATTATGATAAACCATTCCCTTTACCGCTTTTTAGGACTCCGTTTTCCCCTTGAAAGGAAATGCTGTGTTTTTGAATACCGTATACCTTTATTTAACTTTTTTTTTCCGAGAAGGTATTGTCTGGAACCTTCTGAAAGAACCCCTATTCTCTGGGAACCCCTCAACTTTCCTCAGAAGTAGGCCCTCTGCCCGTTTAAGCTTCAATTGAGAGTTCCTCAGGAGATCTGACCGGTACTATCAATAGTTTCGACATTTTGAAGTAGTGGGTTCTTTGAGTTGAATCTAGTGGACCTTACTTTTTTCCCCTGATGATAATCCCTGAAGTTGGTCCATTCTCCCAAGGAAAGAAAATCATGCATGACCACCTTAGCTCAGTAGGAGCTTTTCAGAGAAATTCATCATCACAAGCCAAGATCATAATCATGTTGAAATTAATAGCTGCCAGATGACCACGCTGTTTCTGCCATTCATTTTCGTCCACCCGGTCGACCTATCGTTCCTACTTAGTCATCAATAAGCTGTTCTGTTCTCCTTTGATCTAAAACAGTGATTATCCCCCTCTAGGACTTAGGCTTTTCCCGCATGCGCATTTACGCATACGTAATTAGTGGGCGGTGCCAACCACCAAGCACCGGTCCGCCCATTCTGTCACCTTGTCCCTACCTCGCCAAAATGGCGCACCTCTCCAAAAACCTTCTGTTTAGCTGATCTTCTCGAATGTCGTCTTCGATCAGTATTTTCTACTGGATCAATTGATCAGCTACTCATTTTCAGATGTTGCTGTTACTGCTGATTCTGCTACCTGTAACTGTGGCGGATTCCTTTTGGATGACAGCCGAATTGCTTCGGGTGGATTGGCGAGAAGGATGCCTAACCACCGCTGGTTGCTCTCAACCAAGATTTAAGGTTCGTTTCGATCTCCAGGGACCATTAAAATCGTAAATTTTGAGATATTCAAAAATTTGATTCTCTCCAGATTCTCCAAGATATGCTTCCCCTGACTGAGAAGATCTCCATCAGTTGGCCAGTTTCTGAACATTTCGTTCAGGTAGGCACTTTATCTTTTGAGATTTTTCTTTTGTTGTCCTTACCATTGGTTTAATAGCTATCGATCGGTTCCTCCTTTGATCTGTCCGCTTAATTACTACTTTAATGGCATCTGTTAATTGAGATTTACTATATGTTCCCCGTCCCAATACTATTCTCCATCCGGTATTGTCTTGCCGCGAATTTATGGCCTGTACTCAATCTTTCGTGGTTGCCGACTTTACTGCCCACAGATTACTAGTAACGATGTCCCAACGATGTTGCACACTGGCTACCCCACCCCGACCGTATCCAGTTACCGTTTACGTCATCATGCGGCAAGTACTGTGAAGTACCGTAATTATTCTGTCAATCAGCACTTACGTAATATGGGCTTTTGGGAACTTTCAAGTGCNTTTTGAGATTTTTCTTTTGTTGTCCTTACCATTGGTTTAATAGCTATCGATCGGTTCCTCCTTTGATCTGTCCGCTTAATTANTCTGTCAATCAGCACTTACGTAATATGGGCTTTTGGGAACTTTCAAGTGCCTTCGGATGATCGGCCGAGATCGTGTTGGGTCGTATTTCAAGCAGTACCTCCTGTAGCGACCCCAGAGAAGATTTGGGTAAGAATCAGCCGGGAGGACCCGAGTGAAAATGCCTTATGGGGAACTCGTGCCTGTAGGCAACCAAGAAAAAAGGTGGTGGGGTAACCTGAGTTGGAAAAAGTTTATTCTACTATTTTTAGGATTCTGCGCGTGCATTCGTCTCCCACTGGACGAATGGCAAACCCGAAGACGTGACGATGTCATGCCAAGTGGTTGGCACCGATCCAACGTACGGCTTTCCACGAATCTGCGATCAAACTCCATCACTTCGCATATTCCAAGAGCGTGATATGGAAGCGTTCATGGTGAGTTTGAACATTTCATGTCGTAGTCATTAATGTCCGTAATTAGCCAAGTGACAATACCGTCGTCATCGTAGCAGCTGCTGTTGCGCAATAGAAAGTGTTTTTGTCAGTGGGACAAGTAGTCAGTGGTGGGATGACCTAACAGCCTCCTCAGCCTCCTGGTTTAGGGTCGAAATCGTCGTCATCAGACCACGACCACTGTGCCGCTTTCTGAAGAGGATCTGGGAAAGAAATTGATTGAAATACGTGGTAAATGCTTCAATGCCACTGTAGCCGTACAGAAACATACCGAAAGATGCCCATGGTGTCCGGATCCTTCGGATGTGACACTGATTGAACAAAGGGTAAGCAGCTACATATATCTTTCTGTTTTTTCTGAGGAGTATGTTTACCTTTTACTGTATTATAAACAAAAAACCAGCCGTCCTGAGATTTCCTTTTCATTCTATTTCATGAGGGTCCGTTTCATCACCCATAGGGAATTTCAAGTAGTCATAAGAGTTGCCGCAAAAATTTCTTTTGACCTAACTTTTTTTGGTTTGGGAACTGTTGAAGTAGTAAAGTAAAAAACAAAAGTTACTCTCCCCCACGGTAAGGTAAATGGGTGGGTAAGAGCTTTGCAAAAAGGCACCATATTGTAACACTTGTAAAGTCGAGCACCTGACCCCTCTTCAAACATATTGCTGCTGTACTAAATGGTGACTGACCTGGGATAAGTTAGGTGGAATGACCCTCAATGGGGTTGCTCAATTACGTGACGACCTCCTACTGTGCCCACTCCGCCTGCTACCCACTGAATCAGCTCATTTTCAGATGCCCGATGAACCGTCCGTCTTCTCAGCGTCTATACTTTCACAGCTTCGAGGCGACGACCGTATTCTGCATGTCTCCCTATTGGTCTTAGCTGGAATAGCCATTCTAGCATCGGCTGGTTTCGCTTGTGTCCTGGTGGCATTTCTTCGACAGAAAAAGTTGGTTTCACTCAACTATATGATTAATTATTTACTTTTTCTTTTCACTGTCCATTTCTCTTTCATCGGGTGGAAGGAGGCGCATTTTCAAATCTTCCTTCTTCTCGGTTTAAGAGCCTGAATTCTCATGTGATTTTGATGATACTTGTTGATATCGAGGTGTAGTGGCTGATAATCACTGATAACTTTTCAGAACTCATCGTCAAATCTCCGTGAAACCACGCTACCACCCGTACTCTCCGACGAGCTGCAAGACTGCTGACGATGAAAATCGGTACGTATCCTCTGCCTTTTGTTCCCTTACCGTTTCTTACCGTTTCCTTACCGTTTCCTTTACTAGCCGTTGTATAGTAGAGTTTAAGTCGCAATCTCGACTTGCGTACTTTTTGTAATAGTCCTCATATATCATCGCACGACGGTGAGATATGCGTGCGTGACCGACGAGTGATGATTAATGACCATCAGCTCACACTTTCCTCCCCCCAAGAGTTATGATTGATCTGATTGCCGTCGATTCACCTGGGAGTTGACCTAATTCCGATTTCTTTCAGTTATGATATGCCTTGGGAGCAAACTCGTCCACTCACCTACTGGATGTCATCGTCGTCCAAGTCTGAAGCGACCACCACGTCTCCACTGGATTCTGCATCGTCGCTCGGTGCTCAATCTTCCATTATTGCTCCTTACAGCTTCCGATCCGGCTGCACCATCCCCCAAACTCATCTTTACCACCACATCTCACCCAATTCCTCTATCGGTCCGGGTCATGACTCTGGACTGGAATCTGTCTAGAATGTCCCGTCACGACCATAGGCAAGAACACCTTAAGGAGACACTTGGTGATTACCGTAAGGTCGAAGATGTTCCCATATGTTTCCTATCGAGAATCTCAGTCGTTTTCCATGTACGGGTATATGCAGTCCGGTGTGAATTGTTTTCATTGTCCTAAGGATGACTTGCTTTACTATTTAGATCTAGCATTTAATGTCGTCTTGTCGCTGCCAATTTGGAATATTTCTTCATTGCCAGCTTATTTTGTAAATATTTGCAGATTGTTTATTTTTTGTAATGTATAGATATTAATAAATTAAATTAAAAAATATGTGTCACCTAAAAAAACTTTGGACAGCTTCAAAATTGTTTCCTCGAAAAATCCGGGTAAAGGAAAGATCACGGTAACGCTTAGGAAACTTTTTTAAGTCGAAAAGCGGAAGGGTTGCTGGGAAATAGGGCTTCAGTGACAAAGAAAGCCAGTTAATTCGCCGATGCAGCAAAAAAGGCTGTCCAAAAGTAGTGAAAATAGGGTTGTACGAGATCACCGTGAAAGAAATGGTATGAAATGAATATTTGGACGAGATTTCTGTTACAGTAACTGCGTAAATAGTTGACTTTTAAGGCAAAAATGGCGAAAACTGTCTTTCACTGTCGCCATGCTTCACAAGTGGTTGTTTGGATTTCCAACATGAATGTCCATGGTGCATGCATGCGTTGACGGTACATGCAAGGAAGATATAAGTCGTCCACCTCTGGGCGTAGCATACAGCCAATGCAACCTTTAATCCCTCAGCTCTGAATCTTCGGATCTGACAGTACCGCACATGGTATATGATTGTGAGGGGTAGTGATTCATCCTAGGAGATATCACAGCAACCAATTTTGTCGTGAACAGTGCCTCCAAGTGGACTTAAAAAAGACGTTGCAATCAAACATCGGTGCTTTGGATGGTGGCCAATAACATTAACTGGATCGCAAATAAGGAAAATAATTATTTAGATAGAAGGAATTAGTGGACCCAGTGATTTTCCCTTGCCATGAGTCTGAGCAACACAAAGGGCGGAACGGGTCATACCTGGAGGCTAGGGTTACGAGTGCTTAGTTAGCTCTACAAGGATATCTGTGTTGGTTCAAGCTTTCTTCAAAAGTAGTGTAAGGTTCTTCAGGCAAATCGTAGGTTCAGGAGTAAGATACAATAAGAGTTTAAAGTAAATTCTGGCTAAGCACTCGGAATCTTGAGGATTTTGAAACGCCTGCAACTTCCTTTTGAGGATTGAACTTCTGTAATGTACACCTCGTTCGGTCCATGCACAAGAAAAACAGGTATCGCAAGCCAGGCGATACCTGTTTTTAGGACTTAGGACCTCTAGCAATTGGGCGCCCCCCTGTGCAACACCCCTTACCGACACATTTTTCAGTATGGGCCAAGAGTATCCCAAGTTATACCCTTATTTGCCTTCTAAACTACTCAGGTAATGTGATTCAGTGAAGTTGAATCGGTTAGGCTGAAAAGCGCCGCGGCGCTGTCAAAGCACCCTATATCAGCAAATTAGCGGAAAACCTGATGCCAGAGACATTGACTCTTTAGATAAGAATCACATACCAGTTTTACGTGGAACATTAATTAACGCCTTGAAAACGACGGGGGCACCAGTAGTGGTGTTGAACTACGACACTATGATAGCTACCTTCATCTCTCAGTGCTTGATGAAAGCAAGAGGCGTCATCGATGCCGTTAAAGGCACGGTTCACGATAAAAAAGGTTACTGAGTTCTTCCTTTAGGAATACTCAGCGTCCCCCATGGGTGATAGAAGGGACCCTCTCGCTCCCACAATCTCGGCGCTTAGGGCATAGTGG